AAGTCTGTGATGGACCTATGGACATGAAATATCTCATGTTAACGCTCACCAGAAAGCATGTACCATGAAAGAAGCACTCGGCTAACATGAGTACAGGATAGCTCAGCCCACTGCCATCATCCAGCCTCTGCCTTTGACCACAAAGGCTTGCATAATTTATCCATGAGTATAGTAGACATGGTGTCAGGAATGGAGGCTATGAATAGACCCCAAATCATGGGCTTTTATTCAGCAAGGCTGATTTCCCTATTGCTGCTACTAAATGTCCAACCTGCCAGAAACAAAGCTGAAAATTGATATCATTTTGATTTAGCTCTCATTTGATATCATCTCTCAAGGTGACCAATCAGTCACTTGATGGTAAATTAATTATTTTAGACCCCTAAAGCAATTTACTTTTAGCAGAATAGACAGGTATAAATTTGCCTTTTCTACCCACAGAGCCTTAGCCAATAGCACTTTCAAGAGTTTACTCACATAGGATCCATATATCTCATGCATCTTAACAAAGAGCCAGTTTTACAACAAAAAAAGATATGGTGGCAGACACTTGATAGCATAATCTTCTGGTGCCGGGTGTTATTTCTTTTTTAAAAAGATATAATTCTGGGGCTGGGTTGTGGCTCAGTGATGGAGCACTTGCCTAGCACATGCAAGGTGCTGGATTCAATCCTCAGCACCACATAAAATAAATAAAATAAAGGTATTGTGTCCAATTACAACTAAAAATTTTTTTTAAAAAAAAGATATAATTCTTCATACAGCAATCAAGGCTACTACCTGACTAAATTGCCATATGTCATCCTGCTCTGCAATGATGCTAGAACATACAAATAAAATTTCTGGAAGGATACACAAGAAATTATTAAAATTAATTATCCTGAAGTTATAAAACTGGGAGTTGAGAATTATAAGAAAACTTTTTTATAATAAAACAAAATTAATTATGATTATTGCTGAGAGCCTAATAGTTTTTTTAAAAAAGAAAGCAGGATGGACACAGTGTCGCACATCCATAATCCCAGCAAGTCCAGAGGCTGAGGTAGGAGGCTCTTTCACGTTGGAGATCAGTCTCAGCAATTTAGTGAGGCCCTAAGCAATTCAGTGAGACACTATCTCAAAAAATAAAAAGGGCCAGGCATGATGGCACATGCCTGTAATCCCAGCGGCTCAGAAGGCTGATAGGAGGGTCGTGAATTCAAAGCCAGCCTCAGCAATGGCAAGGTGCTAAACAACTCAGTGAGTGTATTTCTAAATAAAATACAAAATAGGGCTGGGATATGGCTCAGTGGTCAAGTGCCCCTGACTTCAATCTCAAGTACCAAAAAAAAGGGGGGGGGCTTGGGAATGTAGTTCAGTGGTAAAGTGCCCCTGGGTTCAATCCCCAGCACCCTCACAAATAATTCTTTTCTTGGTTTGTTCTGCTGCTACATGGTAGATAGTCTAAAATTTATTTATTGAATTATTTTCATTCCATGGGAAAATGTGCTTTATCAACTTCTTGCTAAAATAGGATACAGTAGCCCTAAATGGAAAAATAGGAACAGGTAATCCACAAGAAATTTAATTAGGTAATAAACATGTAAAAACAATGTCTACTTCATAAGTATCAGCAAAATTCTAATTAAAAAGTTACGTTAAAAACCTGATTTAAAATACTTCCATAAATATTAACAAAGCCAGGTGCTGTGGTGCATGCCTGTAATCCCATTGACAAGGGAGGCTGAGGCAGGAGGATCCCAACTTCAAGGCAAGACTCAACAATTTAGAGAGGCCCTGTCTCAAAAAAATAAATAAATAAAAAGAGCTGGGAAGAGAGCTCATCGATAGGTAGAGTGTCCTTGGGTTCAATCCCCAGTACTGAAAAAACAAAAACAAAAGCAGTACAATTCAGCGGTATGAAGTGCATTCATTTTGTTGTGTAACTGTCACCAGTATCCATCTCCAAGAGTTTTTCATCACCCTAAAATGAAAATCTGTGCCCATTTAACAGTAACTACCTATTTCCCTACTCTCAGTCCCTAGAAATGTCACTGGGGAAGAAATATATCCAGGATAGGGTCCCAAGAAATTCCCAGAGAAGCATAAGAACTAGTCAAGGCAAGAGGGATCCGTGGCATACTTAATGGAAAAGAATTTTAGCACATGGCATTAGAGGTATAGAAGCTTATTTAGGGGAGCAAGAAATACATGCTTTCAAGGGGTAATGTAGGCCATCTCGCTGAGCTAGAAGTGGAGTCGGGGCAGAGTTACACAATTTCAGGTCAGTCTCTCTGGTGGTCCAGCGTTACCCTTGTGTTACTTTTTGTAGCCAAGGGCATGGGTCAAAGCTATGGGCCAAGGGCATGAACTGGGTTGCTCATGAATTGCTTGTTTTGTATTTCAAGGGTTCATGAGTGGTTTCTCTTTTGAGACTTAGTATTTCTTTCTCTTTATGTATCCCCAAATTCCTATCTCAGTAACATTTGTTAATTTTATTTTTATTTTTATTTTATTTTTTTGGCAATGCTAGAGATCAAAGCCACGGTCACACTACCACTGAGCTACATTCCCAGCACTTTCCATTTTTTTGTGACGGGTTCTCAGTAAGTTGCCAAGTTTGACCTGCAACCTGCCATCCTACCTCAACCTCAGAAAGTTGTGAAAACAGGTGTGTGCCACTATGCCTGGCTCACATTTGTTAATTGTTTTTTTAATATTTATTTTTTAGTAGTTGAACACAATACCTTTATTTTATTTATTCATTTTTATGTGGTGCTGAGGATCGAACCCAGGGCCTCGAATGTGTGAGGCAAACGTTCTACTGCTGAGCCATAACCCCAGCCCCTTAAATGGGGTTATTTGTTTATTTGTTTGTACTAGGGATTGAACCCAGGGGTGCTTTACCACTGAGCTACATCCCCCACCCTTTTTATTTTTATTTTGAGACAAGGCCTCTCTAACTTGCCCAGCTAGCTTAGAACTTGCAATCTCCTTCTTCAGCTTCCCAAATTGCTAGGATTACAGGTATGTGCCACAGAGCTCAGCTAAGGCAGGACATTTTAACAGCAACGAGTGAGCCAGATGTAAAGTAGGAAGAACATAATCTCAGGACAAAATACAACATTTGCTTTTATTATTCTCTCTCTCTCCTTCTTTCTCTCTAATGCAAGTCCAAAAACAATGCCACACACATGCCAGGAACTGAAACAAGGGTTCACACTAGGCAAGTGGTCTACCCCTGAGCTACATTCCCAGCTTTTTTATTTTATTTTGAGACAGGGTTTCACTAAATTTCTCAGGCTGGACTTAAATTTGTGATCTTCCTGCCTCAGCCTCCCAAATAGCTGGGGTTACAGGTATACACCACCACATGCAACAACAATTTCCTTTTTGAAACTTCCTGTCACCTCACAGATGGTAGAGTCAATATCAGTTTCAAGTGGAAATAGTTTGATTATTTAAAAAATACAAAATAGAGCTAGGTAGAGAGGAGTACCCCCATAATCCCAGTTACTTGGAAAGCTGAACCAGGAGGATTGAAAATTCAAGGCCAAGCTGGGCACAGTGACATGCTCCTGTAATCCCAGCGGATGGGGAGGATTGCAAGCTCAAAGCCAGCCTCAGCAATTTAGCGAGGTACTAAGCAATTCAGTGAGACCTTGCTCTGAATAAAATACAAAATAGGGCTGGAGATGTGGCTCAGTGGTTGAGTTCCTCTGAGTTCAATCCCCAGTACCAAAAAGAAAAAAAAAAAAGTACTGGGGTTGTACTTCAGTGGTGAAGTGTCTCTGGGTTTAACCCCCAGGATTGCAAAAAAAATAAAAAATAAGAAAAAAACAGGATAGTATGACTATGCCAGAGCACAAAGCTACGAAGGCCCTGAATAATTCTGAACAGACTTCAGCCTTGCCCAGCTCACGATCTCAAACAAGCCTTCCTCAAGTTAGGTCCTGATCAGGAGGTGGACTCTATCGATGGGTCCCTTTCAAAGTCCATGCCTTTGACCCCATGTAGGTCAATAGCATAGGCTACACAGAGCAAAAGATTCTAGAATTTAGCTATCTAGATTGGAATCCCCCCATCTGAGTACATACTTATGGGAACTTGGGCATGACACTTAACTTTTTTTTTTTTTTTTTTTGGTGCTGGGGATTGAACCCAGGGCCTTGTACATGTGAGACAAGCACTACCAACTCAGTCATATCCCCAGCCCCAACACTTTACTTCTTTAAAACTCAGTTTCTTCTACAAGGGTTATCTCAGAGTCTCAATGAAGTAGCACACATAAAGTACTTAGAACAGTGCCAGGCACATCAATAAATGTTAGCTATTCAGCTGGGCATGGTTGCATATACATGTAATCCAAGTGGCTTGGAAGGCTGAGGTAGGAGAATTACAAGTTCAAGGCCAGCCAGCAACTTTTAGCAAGACCCTATCTCAGTGGTTAATGTGGCTCAGTGGTTAAGTGCCCCTGGAATCAATCCCCAGTACCAAAACAAAAGATATAACTTTCATCTTTAATAAGATTTAACTTACTCAGAAAAAGGACAGTAGGATTCTAAAGAAAAGAAAAAGAGGGCTGGGGTTGTGGCTCAGTGATAGAGTACTTGCCTTACCTGTGGGAGGCACTGTGTTCGATTCTCAACACCACGTGTCAATAAGTAAATAAAATAAAGGTCTATCAACAACTAAAAACAATAAAAATTAAAAAAAGAAAGTAATTGACTATTGAATGTCTGTCTGGTCTAGACCCAACAATTTATATCAAGACATGAATATTGAAAAACGTAAGAAACAGTTCTTTTAGGGACATATACTGTGACCAACTAGTACCCTGACCTTGAAATAATCATTCCAATTCAATTAAACAGATTTAGTATCTTCCAACTATGAAAAGAAAGGAATGTAAGATTGCAAACAATGAGGACAAGGACTATGTCTGCCATGTTCGTTATTACACTTGCAATGCTCAGAACAGCACGTTATAACAGACATTGTTGTTGTGTTTTGTTTTGCAGTATTGGAGATGGAACCCAGGACCTTGCACATGCTAGTCAAGCATTCTACCACTGAATTGCATCCTCAGCACACAAATGTGTTTTTACTGACTGCTATTTTCAGACATGAACTAAACCTCATGGGTGTTGAGAGAAAACTAGAGCACCGACAAACTGGACTGGACTACAGGTGGTGAAAGGCTCAGAGCCTGTAGGAAACAGGAAGGAAGGCAGAAGAATTGGAGACCAGCCAGGAGGGACTGGAACAGCCAGGCTACACTGCTCCTTAGTTACCAAAGGCTTTGTCCAGCCAGATGTCCTCAGCATCGCCTTGGTTTTCTCCCTGAAGAATTTGACTATTCATTCTAAAGTCATCTCAAACGCTGACCACATTCACAAATACTCCTCAGAGGCCAAATACATTTTTAAATGCTCATTCTAGCAAGACATTTTTATACAAAGTGGGGTATAGTTTAGCTGTAAAGAAATTTAGACTTATCTCAAACTTGTTATTTGCTAGCTGAATCAACTTTAGTAATTTATTTAGATTCTCTAATCATCAGTGCTCTCATCTATCCAAAAAGTGAGACAATTTACTCAATAAATATTCATTTTTTAGGGATGGGGTTGTGACTCAATGGTAGAGCACTTGCCTAGCATGTGGGAGGCACTGAGTTCAATTCTCAGCACCACATATAAATAAACAAAATAAAGTCCATTGACAACTAAAAAAGTATTTAAAAAATATTCATTTTTTAGCTGGTTGTGGTGGTGATAAACTCTTGTAGTCCCAGAAGGACTTGTGCTCAGAAGGCTGAGGAGGGAGGTGAGTCCAGGAGTTTGAGGCTACCCTCAGTAAAAAACACAGCAAGACCTGTCTCAAAAAGGGTAAAATAAAAATAAAATCATTTTTGAGTGCCTATTATAACAGGCTCAGATGTGGATATTGAGAATGCAGAAGTAAACCAGGTAGATAAAGCACTGCAGTCATGGATATTTATTCAAGTGGAGATGGGGAAGAAAATAATCAAGACACTGTAATCCCAGTGGCTCCGAAGGCTAAAGCAGGAGGATTTCAAGTTTGAGGTCAATTTGGTGAGTCCCTAAGCACTGAGCAAGACCCTGCCTCAAAATAAAAAGTAAAAAGGGCAGGGGATGTGGCTCAGTGAAATGTCCCTGGGTTTAAGCCCTATTACCTCCCTGCCAAATTATTTTAAAAAGTGACTTGGCTAAAGTAAGTAAGTAAGTAAATAAATAAATAAAATAAAAATTGTCTTGGCAACATTTAAAAAAATAAAAAGGGCTGAGGATGTGGCTCAGTGGTAAAGTGCCTCTGAGTTCAATCCCCATTCCTCCCCACCCCTCAAAAAAAACAATATCAGACATTTACCAATACTTGGAAGACAATAAAACAGATTGATATGCTAGAGGTTTTTGGCTGAGAAGGAGCATCTTTAGATCACAAAGAAAGCCCCTGAGAATTTGTTTTAGTATTTTTTTTTTAGTTGTAGTTAAATACAATATCTTTATTTTATTTGTTTGTTTTTATGTGGTGTTGAGGATCACTCTACTGCTAAGCCACAACCCCTGGCACCCACCCTGCGGCCTACCCCCACCTCGGGAATTTGATATGAGTCTGAGAAGACAAGAAGGAACTGACCCTTGAAGATCAGGGTGTGCAGCCTTCTGATGAGAGAGGGGGAATTTCAAAGGCCTGAAGGCAGAGCAGAGAGTTTGGTTTGTCAGTGGAACATGAAAAGTTCTAGGATGGAGTGTGATGAAGAGGGATCTGGGAAGAGGTAAGAGAGGTGGGCAGGACTGAGAAAGCAGAGGAGGATATGGGAGATTTTCAGAGAGAGATTGTGTGAGATAGTTGTTTTGGAGAAGGCGGGTAGAGCATACTGGAGAAGTGTAGTAGGGTTGCTTGGCAGCATTGAGAGCCCTTTTGAGATGTGTGGTCATGCATTTAAACTAGATCTGGTTGGCATAGTGGATGTCTTTCTGAGGATTAGATAAAATGAATGGAAGTTTCTGATTTATAGTAGATGCTCAAAAATGTTAACTACCTGGGCTGGGATTGTGGCTAAGCGCTTACCTAGCATGTGCGAGGCCCTGGGTTCATTCCCCAACACCATATAAAAATAAATAAATATAATAAAGGTATTGAGTCCAACTATAACTAAAAATAAATATTTAAAAAAATTTTAACTACCAGTTGGGCAAGGTGGCACACACCTGAAATCCCAGCAATTCAGGAGGCTTGAGGCAGAAGGATTGCAAGTTTGAGGCCATCCTCAGCAACTTAGTGAAGTCCTAAGCAACTGAATGAGTCCCTGCCTCAAAAAGAAATATAAAAATGGCTGGAGATGTAGCTCAGGGGTTAAGTGCCTCTCGATTCAGTCCCCAGTGTGAAAAAATTAAAATCAAATAAATAAATAAAAAGGAATGGGGATGTGCCCATTACTGGTAGAGTTCCCTTGGGTCCAAACCTCAATAACAACAAATTTTAACTACTATTCTAAAAGGCAGAACATATGAGAATAAGGAAAACAAAACCAACTAAATCACTTTTATTAACACTAGCAACCCAGTATGTTTTGGGGCATACAGTATGTTTTTGTTGTTTTTTTGTTTTTGTTTATCTGTTTTGTGGTAATGGAGATAGAACCCAGGTACACTCTACTATTGAGCTACATCCCAGCCCTTTTTTTTTTTTTGAGACTGGGTCTAGCTAAATTATTGAAGTCTCACTAAATTGCTGAGGCCAGCCTTGAATTTTTTATCCTCTTGCCTCAGCCTCCCAAGCTTCTGGGATTATAAATGTGCACCACCCGGCAGAGCTTGCTCTTTGGTCTTAATATATTAACTAGAAGTAAATGTACTTGTTCAGTCCCTTGTAGAACCATTTCCTTATATTCAAAATATAGGAACTCAACTCATCTTAGTTTATATACAAAATTTGCTTCCCTTTATCTTTTTTTTTTTTTTTTGTGTGTGTGTGTGTGTGTATGTGGTGCCAGGGATTGAACCCAGAACCTTGTGCATCTGAGGCAAGCACTCTACCAACTGAGCTATATCCCTAGAACCCCTTTATCTTTTTGAGTGCTTACAAACATATCTTCTGGTAACCTTCCATGATGTTCTGAAATATTCATTCACAAAATTTGGTATCTGAGTACAGTTCTGCAGCCTAGGACATCATACCTGTAGAAGCTTTGAATACAGTATCCCTAATAATACAGTAACAGAGAAAAGCACACCTGAGATTTCCTGTAATTTCATCTCACTGATGAGATCTTTCTAGACATATCCTTCAGATCAGAAGTCCTGATATCAGAAGAACATTTTATATGGAGCAGAAAAATGAACTAGATTTGAACAGAAGACCTGGACACAGGTTTGAGGACAGGATATATTACTATTGGGGGACCTTACTTAAGGACAGTGGCTAGTGAGACAGGTAGATGCTAAGAAGTGAGAAGAACAACTTATTATTCTTGGCAGGAAGCTAGTGAGGAGTCCAGCAAGGGATGAGTAAGTAAACCAAGGGGACAGCCAACAATAATGGCAAGGACTCCAGGAGTATATGGAATGGATTCTAGGTACAGACTCTGACAGCAGGCCACA